AGAACTACAAAAACTCAATTTGCATGTATGCCAATGCCGTCCAGCCGCGGTGCAGCTCATCAATCATGGACTGTTCGGTAACACTCCCAAAGAGCCCACTCTCACAGTAGAGTTGCGGTTTCTTGACTTTGTGACACGGCTGTACCAGCGTCTTGCCCCAAACAACACCGCCATATGCCACACTCTCGAGGACTTTCTCAGATCTCAAGGTTATCAATTGCGTGGACAGGTACGTCGCAGTAGAATTTGATATCTTGCTTAACTAAAAATTGCCTTTAGGATCCACTTCGTCGATGTTTTCAGTCAACCTTACGCTGGTACAACGCCTTACAGCAACTTACTACAAGCCATGTTGACTCCATCGTATCGTCCGCACAACAGACCATCATCGACAATGGCAATACACAGGAATCTGCAACCAATCTTGAATGTGATAATTCCTCCCCGCCTTCATCCCCAACCGGTCGAGCAATGCCAACTATGGAGGAGGTGGAAGATGAAGAAGACCCTAGGCCGTCCAAATGAGCGCAAGAGAAGGATTCACCACTTACCCGGCCTTCAGATTATCTCCGTAGTCGCTGCCCGCTGTGCTTTGGAGGCAAGACAAAGTTCGATGAAGGGTGAGTATCAGATATTTTCTTTTTTTACTATCGCTCAGGTGGCTTCCTAGAAATGATGTTATTGTCTGTCTCGACGCTTGTTTTACACAGAAACACAATAAACAAGTTTGAGACCCCAAGTTTTCTCATCCGAATTCGGTTTTTATCTCACCTGAAGAAGTCAAAGCCTGGAAGGAACGTGTAAGTGCGGCGCGTCCTGAGCGGCGTCCTCCAAGAAAGCATAGTGAGGACGATGAAGACGACTTTGAGAATGGCCTGAAGGTGCCCCGGTCAGTGTTAGATGGGTGTAACGATAGCTTCACAGCAGCAGATGAAAATAGGGAAAAGGCAAGCACCCAGTTTTTTGATTCCACGGCTCTCATGGGTCTCCTCTGTCGCCATGACCGCATTCTCTGGCTTGCCAACATGACTACAGCAGGGGAACGGCAATACTACGCGTACGCGCTTGTGGACAAGCTCTTTCAGCATCTGCCTCCAGCTTACACTGTTGGGCTACTGTATGATATTGGCTGCCAATTTGAACGAAGCTGCGTGAAGTGGGGCTTCCTCAAGGAACACCTTCCTCGATTAGCTTTCGCTATCTCAGTGTTTCATGCTTTTGGACATGGATGGGCATGTCAATGTATCTATCATCCTCGGAAATGCCGTGGATTTGGTCTTTCGGATGGCGAGGGTTGTGAACGTTTCTGGCACTCAATCAGTAAGCTCATCGCTATTAGGCCTAAAATCGGCCTAAGGCGTGTAACCGTACATTTTGACACTTTGTACGTGTTATACAATGCAATAAGAGAGTTATACGGAGCCCGAGCATGATAGCTGTTGCCGAGGCAAAGAACTTAACAATAATACTCAGCGAGCCGTGAAGGTACGCCCACAAGCATAGCCTAGAGCCAAGCTAGCGAGGATACCTGGGCTGCCCGGAGATGTAACGCTAGATTGTCAATCTAGTTATACCCAAGAGTGCATACTCTCTAAACTACAGGACATCTCGAAGCGGGATAAGTACTAAGCCAACGCGTTACTCGAGGGAAGGAATTATGAGGGAAGGCATCCCTCGCACTAAGACCCCCAATGAGCTATGTTAAGATGTGGACTTTACAGTCCGTAACAATGGACCAGAACAATCCCGAGGGAAACTGTAGAGGTCTATTCGCGGCACCGGTCGTAACCGTGAGGACGGTAGAAACATACTTAGCGGTCCTACGGAAAGCTACGTGCCGGGATAGCCTTGGCAAATCGAAACATTTGATCTTAGAAATCATACACGGGAGGTCTTATCCGTTAAAGCCGACTATCGGGAATCACTTGTACATACTCAGCACAGTTGCTCGAGATTATCATAAGTGGTGTCATTGGAAAGCTAGATAACAGGCCTTCTCGAGAGAATGTTAATCACACTCAGGATGGACCGAACTATCCGAGGAATAGAATGAAACTCACCCAAGGGAAACCGGGCGGCGAGTGATCATGAAGCGCAAAGGTACTCCTGACCCCGGAGAATTGTGGAGTAATCGGAGAAACCTCGCTCGGATCAAAACACTCTAAAACTATGTTAATCCTCACGAAATCATATTTTACCTCTGATATATACCCAAGAATGGACTATTTCTTTATCGTGTGTACCATATATAGGCTGGAGTTTCCTTTCCGAGCCAGATTCCTCTATTCCACTCTCTTTTCGTCTCTCTCCGTCTCTGTTTCATCTATTTTTGTATTAAACTCTCTCTACTCAGTATATAAGCCAGATATATCTATTCAATAAGACAAGTTTCTTGCCCTCAACTTGACTGCTAAGACCAGTGCTCCGTAGAACGTCCCCACGGGATCAGTAGCGTGACGCCTCCTGACTTGGTTATCTTAAGAAAGTAATAAACTTCACGCGCTTCGCAAAGCCCATTTATATCTTGATCGAATTTAAGTGTGTAGAGTTCTCTCGAACTCCAGATCAACTCAAATCTAGTTGCTTCCTTAGAGGGGACGGCTTCTAGTAAGGGATTATTCGGCTCCAGAGTGAGGGTTCCTTAGTTGACTTCTTCACGAAGTTAGACGAGCCACTAAGATTGTGGTACGAGTTCCTAGTGATTAAGTTCACTCACAATATCATAGCTTGGCCCAGAGTTTGGTCGAGGACTTTACGGCGTCACAGCAGCTAGTGCCAGAGTTTGCCTAGGGTTGTTGACAAACCTCGAGATTACTATTCTAGCTAGAGCCAGAGTTTGCCTAGGAGAATCTTAGTTTCGTTGTATTGGTTTTGGTTTTGGTTAATTGATTTGGACATACACACCTGGTTCCCTCGTACACTCGTACACCCCAACTAGGCTTCTCTCGACTTAGTTCTAAGAGTTGTCTAAGCTTAGTTACCCACGTTAGCGCTACGGTCTTGAACCTGGAGCAGTCGCGCGCGTACATCCGATATTACAAAGCTTTCCCTCGGGGAATCTCTGACAACCCGCCCTCGCTCCCTTACATATCGATAGTCTGGTTAGGTGCGGTACTGTTTTTGTTAGGTTGTTTTATAGCACCTTTCGCATACCTACACGTAAATACCCAAATATCGCTTTTCTGAAGGTCTGTGGGGTATGGTGTTTCCTCGCTTTTGCAGTCCTGAGCTAAATAATAATTGCAGCATCATGTTCACCTTTATACGCTTGACTCACAAATCCAGTTCGCTGACAACGAAAGCTTAAGAGGCTATGGCATATGGCTCTCTCGAAAATGGAACAACGCTCAGGCTAGGCATCAGGAAGCTCACCAAGATGTTGATTTCTCCATGCGTAGTCCAGAATTTTTGCGAGAACAGTGGGAAATGCAGAAGCATGCTGTTACGCGGCCTCTCCCATGTATGACTCATAATCAAATTATCATTTACATCTTGCTAATGTTAATGTTTTGTTAGGTCAATCTTGTTCCGCTAGGCAAAAAGCAGTGGAAGAAGCTCTGCATTTGCGTAAAGCCCGAGATACCCTCCATGACAGCATCAAAGATCTCCAGCATGTTCTCACCCGTCGCGATTCAGAACCGTACGAAATTGCAGAGGCAGATCTGGAATTGCCAGAGTTACGTGACAGACTGGCTAGTGTGCAGAAATCTCTGTCGGCGAGGGAGTGGGCCTTGGGTGTGGAAGGGAAGAAACGCTATAATCACCTGGCTTCAAGTCAGTTCATCACAGACCTCATGATTGTGCGCCCTCCGTCAAAAGCTCCAGTCTTGTAAATTTGAGCAAGACCGATCGGAACGCATGTTTTGACAACAACTTAACAGTTGAGTAGACTTCTTTTTTTTAGTTTCCAGGGTGTAATGTGTTTCATCTTAGCTTCGGAATGGAAACTGCATAATCACACTGAAAGTAGTGTCAAGCGCCGCAATCCTAGAATTCAGACTCTCGCTCAACAATTCAATCAACTTCAAGTCCATATGGCCGCAGCGGTGAAGGGGCATAAAGCCCCTTCCAATTCTGTGGTACCTCGACCGATTCCGATGGATAAGCTCTTTGACCTAGACGTCGATGATGCAATCTGGGATGATATTGGTTTAGGTGATTCCAATGACCTCGTTGAGGTGCCACTATGGTTGTCAGATGAACAGGTGAGGACTGGCATTCGAGGAATACTGCTTCGGGATCGCTCTGTTGAGGAATTGCAGCGTTTGAGGTATGAACTCTCAGTTTTAGGAGAGTGGTTCAAGGAGGAATGGGATACATTAATGTTTGCAGTGAGCATGACAGATGGTATGAAACTCGTTTTATTTTCTAGGAACTTGTTCACTTAAATTATCGCCTGTTTAGATGCCAATCTACTCTTTCAACTGAATGAACGGCGCACTAATCTCATTTGGCTGGGTTTAGGTTGGACCCAAGCGTTGTCAAATCTCCCAGCAGACGTTAGACCTAGCTTCGTAGGGCCTGAACCAGCACAGTGGACGGAGATTGAACTGGAGACAGATGCGGATCATGTAGAATTGTTGCAGGAAATGGAGGAAGACGGCTATCAGTTCAATGACAATGATTTGGATATGGGATTAGTTGAGCATATGGACACCCTGGCACTTGCAGATGCACAGAGGTTTGGTGATATGTAACTACTTAGTTATATGTAGTGTGTTTGCCACTATATGAAATAACGTTACCCATCATTATTACTGCCTCTGGTACTACCGAGTCTGGTACTACCGACTCTGGTACAACCGACTCCATGACTATTGATATCACAAACGAAAGGATCAGAATGAAGACATGTCGAGAGCAACAGGTGTTTGTCAAGAGACCAAATTATGATGTGCTACCCTTGGCTGGAGGTACATCCACCCGCAACCGCCGCCGGGATTCTCTACCGCTCAATCGTTGGAACTAGCCAAGAGCATAAAACCTCTAATGTTATTGATGGTCTGATGGTGTAGCGGTTACTATGTGTTATTCCACTCATGGGAACCTGAGGTCCGGGGTTCGATTCCCTGGGGGACCAATGGAGCTGTTACAAGATTTCACTCGAATGCGAAAATTTGTAACGACTTCTTTTTTCCCTAACGACCTAACTGATAGCTACTTAGACAATGAAACGATTTGTTATTTCTCACCAGTGCACCACTTTGGTTTTGATTAGTGAACTTTGAATAAAAGGTATTTTTTACAATCCAGGGAGATCTACTTCAAAAAACAGCAAGACCGGGGGAGGGGTCACAGAAAGAGCATACAGTACTGTCTTTCTACCCACCCATCTTGCAATATATATATTATGTTTTGCTATAGAAACATTTAAAACCTGTAAATGTAGTGTATGAAGGTACACAGATAGAAGAGAAGGGCAACTACAGGTTTCAGGTTATCAATTGGTTGTAGGAAAAATATCCTGGTAGTGGGCTCTGGCTGCAGGCAGCAGTCAGATAATGATCAGGCTGTGAGCCTAGCATTTAGCAGGCAATTAATGCCCAATGCATAGTCTAGTGCAAGGGATGACAGGTATGGGTTGAAGGGGATGGCTCCAGGCCCTAGAAAAAAGATTTGAAAAATTCAATCCGGTAGTACCGAGGTGGTAGTACCAGACCAGGACCCCTGGCACCTGGGCCTCGGTAGTACCGATCTCAGTATTACCGGGCCTTGGTACTACCGATCCGGTAGTACCAAGGTCGGTATATGCCCGGTACTGCCTGCCCCAGGGGGGCAATATTTTATGAATAATTGGCCCTAAGTTGGGACATTGAAAGGGGTTACTGAAGTGTTTTTGGATGACCTTTGATTTTAGTGGATGAGGACAAAGCTGTATGTCCATTTTATTAAAAATACCAAATGTGTCTAACTCTATGAGAAAAACATAAGTGTTTGATAATTGCCTAATTTGGTAATAAAACAGCTTTGACCTCAGCCACCATAGAAATTTAAAAATTTCCTAATATAGTAATTTTTAAAATGCCTTAAATGATGTACAACTTAATCTTGGACATGTCCAAGTTGCCCTTGGCCATGTCCAACCTGATCTTGGTCATGTCCAAGTTGACCTTGGTCATGTCCAATCTAACCTTGGTCATGTCCAAGTTGACCTTGGTCATGTCCAACCTAACCTTGGTCATGTCCAAGTTGCCCCAGGTCATGTCCAAGCTGTCCTTGGCCAGATCCAACTCAGCATGAGCCAGCAGCTTCCCTTCTCTTCCCACTGCCCCATGTACCTGCAATCAGCCCGCACACACTTCACATGTAAACTGACATCTCTCCTGCACCATCTTATTCCACTCTCTGGAGGCTGACATCTCTCCCAAAGCATTTTATACTGCTTTCCAAGCATCCCCTACTCCTCCCTCAGCACCCTCTACTCCCCCTCTGTCACCCCCACTGCACCCCCTACTCCTACCCTGGAAGTTCCACACCCCTCCCAAGAGGTCTCCCTCCTCTCCCACAAGGTACCCTATCCCTGCCAGGGCATACCCTATCCTACCCCTGGTCATGACCAACTTGACCCAGGTGACCAGGTCATGGCCTACTTGCTTGGACATGACCCACTTCCCTGGACATGACCCACTTCCCTGACCATGACCAAGCCATCCTGGACATGACCAAGGCACCTTGGATTTGCCAGGGACTTTGAGTCTTTTCAGTCAGGTCAATGTAACAAAAGTGTAGACTAATAAGACTAATAAGTTGGGTGACTGAACTGCATTGGAGGGCATTCTGTAACATCCCAGGGCATGTCCTAAGATTCTAGGGCATGCCCTAACACAGACACATTTGGCATTTTGGATAAATTACTATATTAGGCAGTTTTATTTCAATGAGGTCAATGCTGTTTTTATTTCTTAATTAGGCAATCCCAAAACTTTTTGCAGTGGATGATGTCAAAGCTGTTTTCATTGCCTAATTGAGAAGTGACAAATTTTTTGCAGTGCATGAGGCCAAAGCTGTTTTTATTACTTAATTAAGAAATCACAAATCTGTTGCAGTAGATGAGATTGAAGCTGTTTTCCCTACCTGATTGGGAAATGGCCAAACTGAACACAAAAACTGGCTGGACTCTTTCCATGAGGACAATAACATGTAGTAGCCATCCAGATCTCTTCTCTATACATAGAATAGGTTGCTCACCACAAATGAAGCCAATCCTGTGGTGGGAAGGGGTTGGATTGCAAAATATTTTTTGGATGACCTTTGACTTTAGTGGATGAGGCCAAAGCTGTATGTCCATAAAAGGAAATCAATGGAAAGTGTTGAGTCTAAAGATTGCCTGATATAATATGCAGATTGGAATGGATAAGGGTGATCTGTTTCATCCCCTGATACCCTGATATGTTCTCTACCCTTTCTTGGTCCCAGATTCATCTTGATGTCCCCTGGAAGATCAGTCTTTACTGATCTTTAGAACTTCCCATCAAGAACACTCATTTTTTTTTTGAAATTAGAGGATAAGTATCAAACTATCCAGGGGGGGTTGGCCCAGGCTTCTAGCATACTATACCCTGATATGGTAGGTACAGACTTTTCCTGATGTGGTTTAACCTGGTTAAACCATCTGGGACTTTAGTTAACCATATGAGAATGCTGATGAATATATATTCTGATTAAAATACTGATAGAGGACATGATTGAGTTGGTTAATGTTGGTTTAAAACGAGTTTAAGTACTGCTTAAACCTGGGGTTAACCAAAATGAGATAACCTAACGACACTTGAATTGGTTTAATCTGGTTTAACCAGATTTTAAGTTGTTGACCTCTGGTTAAACCATTCTTATCAGGTTACTGTTCAAGTAGTGTGGTTGGATCCACATGTGGAGGGATCCAATAATGGATTCACTTCATGTGGTGGACTCCTCCACAGTGGATCCAACCCTTGCAGTACCTTGCATGGTGGTTGCATCCATGTGGAGGGATCCACTAGTGGATGGACCCTTGCATGCTTTGCAATGGTGGTTGCATCCATAGTGGATAGGTCCACTCAGGAGAGATGCACTACTTGATGGACCCTTGCTTCACATGGTGGTTGCATCCACTGGTGGATGTTGGCAAGAGGACAGATATGCCATATCAGGATATGTCTTCATGCTCAATGGAGGAGCAGTATCATGGTCGTCAAAGCAACAAGACACCATTTCTCTATCCATGTAAGAGTCCTGACTCTTAATGCCTCAGACCATGAGCAAGATCTCGTTCTATTAGAGAAATAGACCGAAACAAGTATGTGGTACGAGGATAAGAGTGAACTAATTATGTAATATTGGCGCTAACGGCAATGAACGTGCCGTAGGCGTTACACATGCCCCCTAGATTGACCCCACAGGTCCATCTTACCTAAAAAAAAAAACAAAAGAGAAAGATGGAAAAGGGAAAACATAACAAAGAGAAACATACAGTCATCTAATAGGTAACGTATGATGTAGTATGCTGGCAATTTCCATAAGTGCAGAAGAAGAGAAAGTGTCCTGTGAAAATCGCCGGATTCTCTGGATGCTGACACTAAGTCCAGATTGAGATGGTGGTGGCACATTGGAGACAGTAGATCTCCAGCGCCATGAATGGGAGCATTGATTGGGAGCACAAATATGGTGATGGGGAGTTTCAGTGGGTGAGGGTGATGGCATGAGTGTACCAGATTGGGATGGGCAACGACTTGAACGAAGCAAGAGTGAACCATACACATTGTGTTTGACATGTTTACAAAGGCCTGTTGGTGGAACAGCAGTCACAGGGGCAATATAAGGCGCAGGTGTACACTCGGTTGGAGAGTTTGAGAGATGAACACGAGCTGGCGGTGTGCCAGCTGTGTGTTCGAGCCCCATGACATGTTCATCCATGAATACTTCGAGTTTCCGGCCTGCTTTCCGCAGTTCAGCCACCTCCCGTGCAAACTCTGAGGTTGGTTGGAGTCGAAATGAAGGGGAAGTGGGTTTGGAGGGTGAAACCAATGTCAGAGCATGTGGAGATGATTTCAATGCGTTCAATGCGTTCAAAGCGAGCGTGGGAGTCGGTGATGAAGCAGTAGGAGCGGTCAAAGGTGATGGAGAACTTGGAGCAGGAGGTGGTGTTTGAGATTTGGACAGTTCCATCCCAAACTCTTCTCCCAGTCTCTTAATGAACTATCATCTGAAAACAGACCTCTGCCTGGAAACCTTCTTCCTTCACTGCCCAGCAACATCTTAATGTTGAATCCTGCACCACTGCCTCTGCCAAATTCCTACCAGCCACTGAAAGACCATGTTGTTCCCAGAGCTGCTTAAAGTTGACTAGCAGCTGTTGAATTCCCTGGGAGGAGAAGTCCAGGATCCCAGAGATGTGTGAGAGAGGATCATGAGGGAACATAGAAAGGATTTGAGAAAGAAAAGAGTAAGCCAGAGCCATGACAGAGTCATGGCTTGAGTTGTGCTGTTGTGTGGTCATATTGCTGTAATAGTCCTATTCAGGACAAGGTTGCTCAAAAAAGTGTAAGAGTCCTGACTCTTAATGCCTCAGACCATGAGCAAGATCTCGTTCTATTAGAGAAATAGACCAAAACAAGTACATGGTACAAGGATAAGAGTGAACTAATTATGTAATATTGGCGCTAACGGCAATGAACGTGCCGTAGGCGTTACAATCCACTACAGAAGCAGAATATGTTGCTCTCACGCATGCAGCCAAGGAAGCAATCTGGCTTCAAAACCTCATCTCTGAGTTGTTCACTCCTATCACCGGACCTATAGCCAAACACTTCACATCATCTATGGGACTTGCAAAGGTTTGAGGAGGAGTGTTGGACTTCATCATCTATCACCTTCATTATACTTACTATGGAACAGTCTTCTCACTTGCTACTATCTATGGAATGTTCTCTCTCGCTGTAACTACTGGTATGTGAACTAGTTGTACTATCTTTATCCTGCCCACTCACCATTGCTTCATTATTGTGCTATTGTCTATTCTTACTTACCTACCTTGTGCTACATTCCACTCTTATCTTATTGCTCTCACTCCATGTGTTGTACTTGTTATTAACTCGCCGGACT